GTACTATTAGCTCCACTTTTATAGGTTACAAGGTGAGAGTCTCTTTTTTTAAACCAAGTGTTCATTATAGTCAACTCATATGTCAAGGCAAAATCCAAAATGTTCTTTCCCGCCTCATTCTTAGTGCCAAAACCATGTCCGCTATGAATACTCTTAAAGCCATCACGACTCGAGCCCACATGCCCGTTGAGGTCACCTCCTATGATCAACTTCTCTCCCCTTGGCACTCGTCGCACCACGTCTTCAAGATCTTCCTAGAACTGTTGAGCTGTAGATGCATCCAATCCCACTTGTGGTGCATAGGCACTTACACACACACAATCTCACCCCTTATCACCAATTTAATGCTCATGATGCGATCGTTCTTTCTGAAGACTTCTACCACATCCTCGACATAGTCACACACCACAATAATGCCTACCCCCTTTCTGGTCTTATCTCTCCCCAAATACCGCAACTTAAAACCTCCAGGATTAATCTCACGTGCTTTCTCTCCAACCCATTTAGTTTCTTGCACACACATAATGCCAGTATTCCTTCTCCTCATAACCTCGACTACCTCGGAAGATTTGCCTATAAGAGACCCAACATTCCATGTCCCAAAACGCAATCTAGCACTCCACCTTCTGTTCTTAGCCTCATCTCTGACCCCACCATGCCCTTTCATATTTGACATCATCCCCGGGCAATGGGATGATGCACCGCTTCCGGGCGTCGACCTAGCAACCTTAGCATTCTTATCGCCACACTCAGGTCTATGAAGTGCAGTGCGCCCTTGCATATTTGACAGCACCCCCATGCGGAGGGATGACGCGTCACTTACGAGTGACGACCTAGCATTAGCGATATTCATATTTCGATTCATGTCATGTGATGTGACTAGGTGATACTGTTGGCCGTCATACGCCTACCACAGCACGCTTCTCCTTTATCCTTGCTTGGGACAGGCATGATACCAAAAAAATGATATAATGGTGGAGTTAAAATTTACATATTCATAAACTAAATCAAAATCTTTTTAAAGTTGTAAATTCCAAATTAGAATATAATTAAAAATTGGCATCCTAATTAAGTGAACAAAACGAAACTCTTTGACAAAAAAAGTCAAATTTGCAAATCAATTTGGGACGGATGTAGTAGTTGGGATTTAGGATAGGCCAAAAGGGGTTCATCTTACCTGTGGTATAAAAAAGATGGATACTTCAATTCATTTTATATGTGGTATATAAAAAGATGGATACTTCAGAAGAATTTTTTCCACTTTTAATCCTCCGACTATTATGTCATTGACACTTTTGGTACTCAACTTTGATTTTTTCCATTTTTAGTCCTTGACTATTGCGCTAGAGACACTTTTGATACCCGTCTTTGAAAATTTCCATATTTAGTCCTTCAACTTTCATAAAAGTGACACTTTTGATCCTTCAACTATTATAATAATGACATTTTTAGTCCTCCACTTATTGTGTCAAAATCATAATGGAGGGATAAAAGTGTCGATTTGACAATACTTAGGGACTAAATCTTGAAGTCGGAGACTAAAAGTGTCTCTAGCACTATAGTCGGGGACTAAAAAATGGAAAAATTAGAAGTCGAGTACCAAAAGTGTCATTGACATAATAGTCGGGGACCAAAAATGAAAAAAAAACTCTACTTCAGAATTTCCAATGACTTTTGGAATATGATTGGCTCCAAGATCAAATCTTCTCCAATTTATATGAGCCGTATTTTAAATTTACTCTCGTATATATGCCCAGTTTTTTATCCAGGAATGGAAATGAGGCACTATATTGGACTGCATGGATTTATGCTTCAATTTCTTACAGGTGAACTCTAATCTGATTTAGGGGTGTTTGGAACCGCCTTTACAAATTGATTTTGCTGTTCCAAGGAGCACTTTGAAGCAGAAACAGTTTTGCATGTGTTTGGATCTGATTTTAAAAATGCTTTTAGATGGGTGAAAAATCAGTTTTGTAGAAGCTAAGGTAGTAGCAGTTTCTCCAAATCAGCTTCTGCTTCTTCTACCTTTATTCGTTAAATGCCCTCACTCAATATAGGATGCAAACCGCCAGAGCTTGAGCTTCTTCTCCAACCAGCTCTTTTCTTCTCCGGATCTTCTCTTCTCCGATCCACAACCCAGGTAAATCACCGTCCAGCGGACTGTTCTCTTCTCGTATATTCCAGAGTTGTATTTTTTTTAATTCTCTTAATTAATATCTTTATTCAATTATTATTGGGTTTGTCCTCCTCTTTCGAAAGCCACTCCTGTGGGCTCTGGTTGTGATTCAGGGGCTCTCCTCTTCACCCAGCAGCTATCCTTTTATCCTTTAGCAGCCTATTGCAATGAGAATTCTAAACCCACATTAATTTTATTAGGAATACATTATTTAAGTAATTTTTATTTTTTATATATCTCTATATTAGTATATTACAATGAATGCCTACTATATGTCCTTTTGGTAAATTTACATCAAAATCAGTTTTTGAAAGCAAGTTATCCAAACACTCTAAATTGATTCTCTGTTACATGCAGCAGCACAATCAATATGAAACACTCCAGACAAAATCACTTTTTCAGACAACTGAAAATTCTGATTCTGCTTTTCACTTAAAAAAAGAAGCAAAAGCAGAATCAGTTCCAAACACCCCCTTAGTTTCTAGTTTCTACTATAGTTGAGTTAAAGTTCTTTGTATTCATGATTCAGTTTTTCCGTTTGTTTGATTGTTAACTTCTCCAGTTTTTTTTTTTAATTTTGGGTTTAGGAGGCTGCCCAACTGTTAGTAGCATCTGGTAAGTATGCTATCTTTCTTCATTGGGGAATATATTAAAACTTAAAAGATCTTTCTTTGCAGGTTGTTTTCCCATTTCTTTTCCTCTCAAAGATGATCACTTATACTCAAGGGGAATAGATAAAAGGAGTATACTATTCCTCTCAAGTTTAACCGTTCTTCTCCAGTTCTCCTACATTTCTCCTCCTCCAAAGCATCCATAACCATAAGCTCAAATTCTCTCAAAAAAGCTGAGTGCATTTCCTTATTCGCAAAAAAAGCTTAATTCGTTCAAGCTTCGTATCAAGCTCCACCGCTATCTGTAATTCAGTCTCTCAATCAGCCTGTCAACCGCGATCCATTTTTCAATGACAAAGCACCAGCCCTAAACAGCAATGCTCAAAAAGCGGATTCCCACTGCCAACTGGTGCTGGACGGCGTTACTTATAGGTGAACTCTAATCTAATTTAGTTTCTACTATAGTTGAGTTTATGTTCTTTGTATTCATGATTCAGTTGTTCCGTTTTTGTTTGTCTGATTGTTAACTTCTCCTGTTTTTTTCAAATTTTGGGTTTAGGAGGCTGCCCAATTGTTAGTAGCATCTGGTATACTTAAAAGATCTTTCTTTTCGGCTTGTTTTCCCATTTCTTTTCCTCTCAAAGATTATCACTTATACGCAAGGAGAATGGATAATAGGAGTATACTATTTCTCTCAAGTTTAACCGTTCTTCTCCTACATTTCTCCTCCTCCAAAGCATCCGTGACTGTAAGCTCAAAATCTCTCAAAAAAAGCTGAGTGTGTTTCCTTATTCTCAAAAAAAGCTTAATGCGTTCAAGCTTCATATCAAGCTCCACCGCTATCTATAATTCAGTCTCTCAATCAGTCTGTCAACCGCGATCCATTTTTCAATGACAAAGCACCGGCCCTAAACGACAATGTTCAAAAAGCAGATTCCCACTGCCAACTGGTGCTGGTCGGCGTTACTGATAGGCAGAAAGCCATCACAAAATCCCACCAGAGAGCGAGTCTCAACCGCAACCGGGAGAGCTCAATAATTCGAGATGCAGATTGAAGAAGACATAATTCAATCTCAGAAACAACACCTTTTGGAACCAGGTAGAGTAAAACCAGTATACACTCTGAATCATTTTCATTTTCATTTACCCCAGTGCCGCAAAGGCTCCCACCTACGGTGGGGTAAGGGGGGTCGGATGTACACAGTCTTACCCCTGTACTAAAGCACAGAGAGACTGTTTCCGGATGACCCATAGTGAAAATCGCGTCCAGAATTGCATGGACAGACAGTTTAGTGAGTCATTTTGCTTTATTCCATCATAATCTCAAGCCAAAAAATAATGAATCTTTGGCTCCATTGCAAATGATGGAAAACAGTATACACTCTGTATAATACAAATAATTATGCTTTAGCAGGTTCATTTGAGGTGCGGTACTAATCTAGAATAGGCATGTTTCACACTATAAGTTATATTAGCACTGGATCTGCTTTTGAATACAGCTCTGGACATTTTTGGAGTTTAATTGATGTGTTAATAATGTTAACTATATTAATTGTTAGCATGACATACATGCTAACAACGTACGGGTGAAATACTAGTAGCAATAAGAGCATGACATTCATTGGATAGTATGAGGGCAAGTTGAGTGCAGAAGAATCACCACAATTTAAACTGTCTTGATTTATTAACACAACGAATGCATCAGGTCCAAGAAAAAAACAGGTCTACTTAGCCTATTTAGATTTATTTTTTGGGTTGGTTCTAGATTGGATTCTTCATCTACATAAAAAACAGAACACGCAAGGCCCTATTTTGGAGGAAGAGAAACGATTTTGAATCAAAAGTGAAATGGAAAATCAGGTGATAATCTGGCTGGACAGTGTCCGCCCTAATCGCAAACTGGATTTGGGAAGTCTATGACACTTTTTGTGTTACAGCAAACAACAACAACATTACCCCAGTGCCAGACAGGCTCCCACCTACGGTGGAGTAAGGGGAGTTGGATATACGCAGTCTTAATAAAGAAGCACACACAGTTTAGAGGCACTTTTTTGTGTTGCTTCTGAAAAATGATTTACTTCTGTGATGGTAAAGAAAGTGCTTAACAGGAACAGTGTTTTAAATAAAAGTTGTTAACTTCAAAAGCTTAAGTTGTGGGTTTTTGGTAAAGAACAAATTTTTGATATAATATTGTGTGGAAGTTAAAGAATGTCCAATTTTTGGGCATATTCTACTTGTCTTGTCAAGAAGGGTAGTTCTGCATAAGTGCTTAGCTAAAAAATTGATCAATTTCAAAGCAGAGAAGCGCGCTTTTCAGCTTTGAAGTGTTAAAATTAAGCACAATGCTTAAAACGCTACATTTAAGCAAAAAAACAAGAGATAAGTTTTTTCCAACAACAATGGCATATACTCTATCATGGTTGATGTTCTACTAAATAAATAATAATGGTTGAGTTGTGTGCTACTGACTTCTTCTGCTTGTGTAAAATTTTGCCTAAACGAATATGAATTCCTTGATCTAAAAATGTGATGGACCTGATCAAGAAGCAGAAGATGCAGAAGCAGCAGCAGCCTTGGAGCTCCTAAACCCCCTTTTCAACACAGCCACTCTCTTGATGCAAGCAGACTTTTCTTTCCCAGGCACAGCCGCAGCGATCTTCTCCCACCTCATTGCTGCTTCCTTAGGAAATGCCTTCAAAGCATTAAGCAGAGCTAAATCCTCCCCACCACTCCACACTTCATTCTCCTCTTCCCCTCCTCCTTTCCCCTCCAACAGAGCCTCAGTGCTCTCCTTTACTCGACCCTTCTCATCAATCAGCTTTCGATCCTTCAGAAATTTCTGATACGAATCCTCATTGCTCGTTTTCTTTTCTCCCAACTCTTTCGCCTTCTTTATCACGCTCTCCACTCCGTGCCTCCCGTTAAACCCCTCCGCTATAGCCTCCCATCTTCCAGGCTTGCCCACTGGATGCTTCCCTAACAGTTTTCTGAGGAGGTCAACGTCTCCGTCTTCACTCCAATCCTTTTCCTCCGCCACCCCCTCAATTTTCTTGGATTTCTCCGCAAAGCCATTGATATGTATAGGGGGGTCAGAGCCGATTGAGGGAGACCCGGATCCGGATTCAAGTGGTTTCCTCAATGGTTTGGCTGATTTCTTACTGGCCGGTTTCTTAAAGATTTCTGGCTCGGGATCGTCGGGCTGGATAGGAGGGCCGACGCCGACCCGTATGTCGCCGGCGGTGACAGAAAGGGGCGCGAACGGCCCGATGAGGAGGGAAATGGAGAGCCATAAGAGGATCGATCTGAGGGGTTCGGAGGTGAAGTAAAGCAGCGAAAGAGAAAGGAGTGGAATGGAGATAGAGAGGGAGATGAAGAAAGCGGGTCGACGCAGGGACCCGTATTGGGGATTGGAGTCGTCGCCGGTAGTTTGAAGTAAGGGCTTGGACTGGAGGACGAATCTGGGTCTAGCGTCCTCGTCCAGAAACTCCATGGTCGTCAGTCACTGAACCAGGATCGATGAATTCGTTTATTATGGGCCCTTCAAAGATTTTGCCATTTTGGTGTCAAATTACCAAAAAGTAAAAATAATATTATGTTCCTCTCTTAACCCTATCAACTTTTCGTTTAAATAAAATATTCGTGATTTCAATTAATTCTCTTTCCTTTATAAAATCTCAATCATATATTTTTTATTTTATTAATTTTCGTGTCGGTCAAACTTCGAAAAGTTTTAAAGGACATAGAGAATATCACTTTTGTCACATGTTAAAATTCTTTTCAAAAAATAGACAATCTCAACTTTTCTTTTCAAAGATATACCATACACAATATATCTGATGGAGTATATGGCCCGGGAACCCCCGGCCCACAGACTCCTACTACTCCAGCAAAGGCCCAACAGGCCCAAATCACAGCGCCCAGAGTACCAAGCAGCCCGCACTACGCGCCAGGGGTGCCTTCGGCCCCCTGGCCGAAGGCTCTAAACTCTCACAGAACGGGTTTCTCAAGCAAAATAAGAAACTGGGAGAAAACGGCGAAAACAGTAGCCCTCGGCACTGTGAGCCCTCGGCACCAGGGTGCCATCGGCTGGAGGAGCCCTCAGCTACTGCTCTATAGCCGAAGGCATCTCACTCGACAAGATATCCGCCTCACATGCGTACAGATCACCGTACCCTGTATAGACGTCCCATCCAACGGTCGCATTAAATGCGGCCACATGCGGCTGCCAGCGCCAACCAGTTGAGGTGACCCCTCGGCCAATGAGCGCTTGACACGTGTCCCTGTCCGGCATTTATTGCTACTATAAATAGCACCTCATTTCCCCATTTGTAACCACGCTGAAAACGGCATTCATACTGAATACTCTCTCTCTCTCTACATTTACTTGCTTGCTCTGACTTCCCTCTAAGTTATTCCCCGCAATAACCCTTCGGATATATACCCCCGGGTAGACTATCCATCATTTGGTGCTCTCGTTGAGAGCTCGAACAATCAAGTAAGAAACTCTCCCCCTCGACCGAACACAAAACACTAGCCCTCTATCAAAATGGTGAGGACAACACGTGCCAACTCAAAGAACGTAGAAGACAAGAACCTGGCCCTCGGCGACGTCAACGCCCCCGAAGCCTCTCACAGGGCTCCCGAGGGCGGTGTCATCGCTGGGCTGGAACAGGCGGTTGTCGACCTACGCCTTCAGATCCAACAGAATGCCCCCGATGCCCGCCTCGGCATCGAGGCCAAGAAGAAAAACCGGAGCGATGACCAAGTCAGCCCTCCGGTTCTCACCATCGACGTGCAATCGGCGCTCTCCGCCTTCATCCAAACGCTCACCCAGAACCCGGGTGCCTTCGGCACCCTGGCTCCAGCTCACCCTCAGGTTGGGGAAAACATCATACTCCCCCCCCCCTTTGCCACACCCTTTCGGAAATCCCACCCCTCGGGTGAGGAACGATGAGGGGGTGGTGGCCCAAGATACGTCCTCCCAGGAAGTTCAGTCCCGGGACCGCCATAATGACAACAGGGAAAGGCCCCGTACTTCCGCCCTCAACCGGCTCGGAGGAGGGCCAGACCGCCGAGGGGTCCAAGACCACCTCGGGGGGAAAGCACTCCAAAGGCCCCAGGAAAGCGGGGGATCTGTTTCGAGGGCTGACGAGGAGCGTCCCCCTCGGGACAAAGGCAAGGCACCCCTTCATGCCGATGATGCTCGGCACCAAATCAACCAGGCCCACTCGGCCCGGGTTCGTTCGCAGGGGGCGGAGACCCTCCCGAAGGATCCCCGGGACGAGATTATTGCGGCCCTCCAACGCTGGCTTGACGAGATGGAGTCCAACAAAGCTCACGCCACCACCTCCACCCCTCATTCAGATCTCAAATACGAGGCCATGATGGCCAAAATGGAGGAGTTACAGAAGAAGGTGGCCGAGGGCTCCGGGGAACCCGTCATCCAGCTCCGGACTCGGACGCCATTTACCCCAAGGGTATTGGCGGCCCGTATCCCGGAAAAATACCGAGGGCAACATATACAGCCCTACAACGGAAAAACGGACCCCCAGGAACATTACAGCAAGTACCAGAACAACATGATGATGGTAGGGGCGTCGGACGAATATTTGTGTCGTTGGTTCCTCTCCACCTTAGAGGGGCCGGCATATGAATGGTTCAACAGGCTGCCCGAGGGCTGTATTGATTCGTGGCAAGAACTCGCCCAGCGATTCTTGACACAGTTTGCCGGGAGGCGTCGCACAAGGAAGCACTTCTCCCACCTCCTAACAATACGCCAGAAGAGGGATGAGACCCTTCGGGACTTCCTAGAGCGCTGGAGGACGGAGGCCGACAAGGTCGACGGTGCTGATGACGGGACCCTCCTGGCCCTCCTACAAACCGTCCTCCGCACCGGCAATTTTTTAAGGAGCCTCATCATTGAACCCCCCCGCGACTACATAACGGCTTTGCAGCTGAGACCGAGGAGGTGGAGAAGTGTCACCAGCGTCCGGACCAGCAGCCTCCGAGGGCCGACAACAAGCATAACCGAGGGACGGGGGCTCCTCCAAATCACCCCAAGGCTTCGGGACCCTCTGATGACCGCCCTCGGCAAGGCCAAGCCAAGCCCGAGGGAGGATATAAGAGCAACCCCAAGACTTGGGCACAGCCCATTCTCCTGGACCGCCCTCGGACACCATTGACGCACCTCGTCAGCATCATCCTCGATTTTGCCGAGGAGAGGGGCCTCGTTGAGCGTGATTCTCGCGCACCCCCGGAGGTACACGCTATCAACCCTCAGTTCCCCTACTGTCGCTTCCATCGGCACCAGGGGCACAGGACCGATGACTGCCATCAGCTGAAGACGGCCATCGAGAGATTAATACAGGCGGGGCACCTGTCCCATTTTGTCCAGAGCCCTCGGCAGGAGGGACCTTCTCATCAGGGACCTCCCCGAGGGCACCATACCAAGGTAAATGCCTGGGTAAATCCGAACACCATCCCCCTCGGCAAGAAGAGAGAGATCGGAAACTTGGAAGAAGAGGAGGAGGAGTACCCCCACTACCAGGAGAAGAAACGCCACATCCTCATGATCACCGGTGGCAATACAGGGGGCGATTCCACCAGCCAGCGAAAGAAGTGGGCTCAATCACTTTACGTAGGGGAAGTCACTCATATGCCCCCGGTAAAGCGACTGAGGGAGGAACCCATCACCTTCACCAACGCAGATCTCCCCCTACTTCTTCTCCTCACAGGGATGCCTTGGTAATTCGGACGGAGATAAGCGACACCATCATTCACCGAACTTACATTGACACGGGCAGCTCCGTCAATGTAATGTACCTCAGCACCTTCAGAGAGCTGCATCTGGAGAGGGGGTCCCTTCGTCCCATTAAGACCCCTCTTGCCGGCTTCACCGACGACACTATTGATTCCGAGGGGGTAATAACCCTCCCGGTGATCTTCGGCGACGGGCTCCATAGAGCCCAGCTCGAAGTGGAGTTCGTCGTCGTCAACATTGACTGCGCCCACAACATCATCCTCGGCCGGCCAGCCCTCGAGGACCTCGAAGCCATCATCTCCATGAGGCATCTCTGCCTCAAGTTTCCCGCCGAGGGGGGCATTGGCTACTCCCGGGGGAACCAGAAAATTGCCGGTGCCTGCTATCTTCAGGTCACTAAGAAGGTAAGCAAGACGGAATTCCGTGTTGACACCATCACCGGAACCATCGACCAAGAGGAAAGAAGGCCGAGGGCTGAACCGGCCGAGGACGTAGAAGACTTTGCGCTCGATCCGGCCCAGCCGGAAAGACTCGTGAAGATTGGAGCCCAGCTCCCTGAAGATTTGAAGACCGGTATCACCGACGCCCTCCGCGCCTACTCCACTGTCTTTGCATGGGGGCCGGAGGACATGCCGGGAATCAGCCGAAGGGTCATCACCCACCGCCTCTCGGTGGACCCTTCGGCAAAGGCAGTGCAGCAACGAAGAAGACCCCTCTCCGCCGAGAGGAGGGAATTTGTGAAGAAGGAGGTCGCCATGCTCCTCTCTATTAAGCACATCAAGGAGGTGAAATATCCCTCATGGCTAGCGAATGTGGTCCTCGCACAGAAGCCCCTTACCTTCCGCATGTGCGTGGACTACACCGGTCTCAACAAGGCGTGCCCTATGGATCCATTCCCCCTACCGAATATTGATCAACTGGTGGATGAGACCGCAGGGTGTGAGATCATGTCCTTCCTCGATGCCTTCCGAGGGTATCACCAAATTTTCATGCACGAGGAAGACGCCGAAAAAACTGCCTTCATGACTCCCGAGGGTATCTTCTGCTACCTTGTAATGGCCTTCGGCCTAAAGAACTCAGGGGCCACTTACACCCGGATGGTGGCCCGGGTCTTTCAAGCCGTCTTAGGGCGCACCATGGAGGCCTACGTTGACGACATGATCGTCAAGAGCAAACAATCTTCCAGCCATGCTGACGACCTCCGGGAAATCTTCGCCATCATGCAAAAATTCAAACTTCGGCTAAACCCGAAGAAGTGCACCTTCGGCGTCCAAGGAGGCAAATTCTTGGGCTACATGGTGAGCCGAAGGGGTATTGAGGCCAATCCCGAGAAGATCCAGGCCATCATCAACATGGAACCCCCACGCAATGTGAAGGAGGTCCAACGGTTGACGGGCCGCCTGGCAGCCCTCAACCGCTTTCTATCTAAATCGGCGGAGAAGTCTCTACCCTTCTTCCAGATCATGAGGAAGACGGCTGGTTTTCTATGGACTCCAGAATGCCAGGGGGCTTTCGACGAGCTCAAACGATATCTATCTTCACCTCCTGTGCTCTCCAAACCCAAGGTAGGGGAGACCCTCTACCTCTACCTTGGGGTCAGCCCGGCGGCCATCAGCTCTGTGCTCATCCGGGAGGAAGACGGCATCCAACATGCCATCTTCTACGTTAGCAAGACCCTAAGGGAGGCCGAGCTCAGGTACTCCCCTGTGGAAAAAACGGTGTTAGCCATCGTTTGGACTGTCAAGAAGTTGGGCCACTACTTTCAGGCTCACCCGGTTCAGGTCCTCACTCATCAACCCCTCGGCGCTCTCATGAGGAGCCCCACCAGCTCCTCCCGCATGGTGAAATGGGCTATCTTCTTGAGCCAATACAACATTGACATCCGTCCAAGGCCTGCCATCAAGGGCCAAGCCCTGGCGGACTTTGTGATGGAATGTACCGCAAGGGCAACCACGGACGGGGAGCCCTCGGCTACCTCAGACGACTGGTGGACCCTCTACACCGACGGCTCCTCCGCGACCAAAGCATGCGGGGGAGGGGTAGTCCTCATTACTCCCGAGGGCTTCAGGTCCTACTATGCAATCCGCTTCTCCTTCAAGGTCTCCAACAATGAGGCCGAATATGAGGCCCTCCTATGTGGCCTTCGGCTGGCTGCCAACATGAGGGCTCGGCAGATCCACATCAAATGCGACTCCAAGTTGGTCGTTGGCCAAATCTCCGAAGAATATGAGGCCAAGGAGGGGAGAATGAAACAGTACAAGGAAGCGGCCAAGGAGTTGCTTAAGGTATTTGAGGCACACTCTCTCACTCAAATACCGAGGGCTCAGAACTCCGAGGCCGACATATTATCTAAGCTCTCGGCCGACTCCCCCGAGCACATCTCCAAAATTGCCAAAATCGAAGAACTCAGCCTCTCAAGCATCCATGCAAGCCCCGTTATGAACATATTACAACGTCAGGAGGATTGGATCTCAGATATCACCGCCTTCATCTCCACAGGGAAGCTACCCGAGAATGAGGCCCGCGCTAAACTGGCAAAGCTGAGGGCTCCTAGCTACACCATCGAAGATGGAAGGCTCTACAAACGATCTTACAATGGCACGCTACTTCGGTGCCTTCATCCAGATGAAGCCGAGGTCGCAATGGAGGAAGTGCACAGTGGCACTTGCTCAGCTCACCAGGGACCCTTCTCCATGTCCCGAAGGCTCATTCTCCAGGGCTACTTCTGGCCAACCATGGCCAGGGATTGTGCTGACCTTGCCCGGAGGTGCACCGCATGTCAACATTTCCAGAAAGCTCCCGGCAGGGCAGCGGTCAACTATGCCCCCATCAGCACCTCTGTCCCATTTTCTCGATGGGGGATAGACCTTGTGGGCCCTCTGCCGAGGGGTACCTCCAACAACAGATACATCATTGTGGCCGTCGACTATTTTACCAAGTGGGTGGAGGCTGAACCCCTCGCCAGCATCACAGAGGCGAAGTGCCGTCACTTCATCCTCAAGAACATCCTCACGAGGTTTGGCGTCCCCCAGCAGATCATCTCCGACAATGGGACACAATTTGAGGCAGCCCCCTTCTGTGCCCTTCTGGAGGCATGGGGCATCAAACACACCTTCTCCTCCGTTGCCTACCCTCAAGGCAACGGGCAAGTAGAAAACGCCAACCAGACCTTGCTCGAGGGCCTCAAAAGGAAGCTGGAGGCCGAGGGTGGTGGCTGGGTGGAAGAACTCCACAACATCCTTTGGGCCTACCGCACCACCCCTCGGCGAGCAACAGGTGAAACACCCTTCTCCCTCTGCTACGGTTTTGAAGCCAAAGCTCCTACGGAAGTCACCCTTCCCACCCGAAGGATGATCCAATATGACCCCGAGGTCAACGACAGCAACATGGCCCTCGACCTCCACCTCATTTCAGAACGCCGGGAGCAGGCCTTCATCCGGGCGGAAAACTACCGAAGGCAAGTTAAAAGCTACATCGACGCCAAAGTTCGCACCCAGGAATTTCAAGTGGGGGACTATGTCCTCCGGAGGAGGGAAGCCAGCCAACCAACCGAGGGAGGAAAAATGGCACCAAAATTCGAAGGCCCCTACATCATAGCAGCCATCATCAAACCTGGGACCTACAAGCTCAAACGCCCCAACGGGAAAGAAGTCCCTAGACACTGGAATGTACACCACTTAGTTAAATTTTATCAATAATGTAAGAGCGGCCAAGCCCTCATAACTAGTGAATGTACTATCCTATGGCCCAAGGCCTTCAATTTCGAAGAATGAAGATACATTCAAGACATCAAGCCCTCATACTGACTACAGGCCCCCGGCCTCACCACGAGAAGAACCCCCTCCGGCACCAAGTGCCAAGGGCGGACACCATCAACACCTACAACAACGGTGAAAACCCCACGTGTTTTCAGTCAAGACCCCTCGGTACCAAGTACCGAGGGAGGGAACTCCTATCACCAACAACAAAGAACTCCATGTGTTTCATTTCCCTTCGGCACCCAGTGCCGAGGGTACATTCCCACCTTCAACATCAAAAAAGAAAAAGATGAGAACACCAAGTGTTCCTACAGAAGACCCTTCGGCACCCAGTGCCGAGGGTACACCTCCATCATCAAACATCGAAACGAAAAAAAAAACACCAAATGTTTCAAAGAAGACCCCTCGGCACCCAGTGCCAGGGATATGCTCTCCTATCAACTTCCAAACATCTGTTGGGAAACACCAAGTGTTTCATTTGAAGACCCTTCGGTACCAAGTACCGAGGGTAGACGCCTACATCAACCACGACAAAAGAGAACACCAAGTGTTCCTACAGAAGACCCCTCGGTACCAAGTACCGGGGGCTACACATCGAAACTAACACCAAGTGTTGTTTCTAAAAGCCATACCCCACGAGGACGCATATACCGAAGGCGCCACCATCGGTGCCGGCGGCACGTAGTGCCCCCGGCCATTTGCAACTAGTGTGCAAATGAAAACCCTTCCTTGAAACGCTTTCCGCGTCATTACCCCCAGGGTATGACAGGCATGAGAAATGCCCAGGATTCGACTTTCAAAAACGGAACGCTATCCGCGTCATCACCCCAAGGGTGTGACAGGCACGAGAAATGCCCAGGATTCGACTTCCAAACCGAAACGCTCCCCGCGCCACCACCCCAAGGGTGTGGCAGGCCACGGACTATGTCTGGCGCCGAGGGGACGACTTTCAAAAATGAGGCGCTTTCCGCGCCATCCCCCAAGGGGAGGCAGGTTACGGACCACCATATCTTGTGCCCAGGAAACGACCCTCGATCCCCTCGGAACTCGGAAGGTTAACCCGAGGGAGGAGAGCCATTGGTGTATTCTGATGGTCTCCTAATAGGCCCAGCCTTACCAAGAAACCAAGTTTCTTGATGCCTTCCCTTCACCACCAACCAAAAAAAACAAAAAAAAAACAAAGGGGGTGAAGGGACACAACTGGCTGAGTCAAACTCTACAACTCTTCAGAGTGTATGCCGAGGGCACACACTCCTGATTGGCCTTCTTCACAACAACATGATTCAACATCAATTCTAAGTCCTAAAGATTGGGCCCCCGGCCCAATCAATATTACTGCCAAGGGAATATGGTAGCCGAAGGCCAGGCAATACAACAACGCTTAAAAAATATTCTGTCCTAAATGAGCAGCCCCCGGGCATCTCGCAAAGTGATGTGGAATCAGAAGGGATGCCATCTCCCGAAGGCTCCCAAGGGAAAATCTACACTTAGAATATTTTCTAAGTCCTACATGTTTTTCCCCGGTCAACTACTCTTACATCAAGAAGGGATGCCATCTCCCGAAGGCTCCCAAGGGGAAATCTACACTTAGAATATTTTCTAAGTCCTACATATTTTCCCCCCGGTCAACTACTCTTACATCAAGAAGGGATGCCATCTCCCGAAGGCTCCCAAGGGAAGATCTACACTTGGAATATTTTCTAAGTCCTACATATTTTTCCCCCGGTCAACTACTCTTGCGTCAAGAAGGGATGCCATCTCCCGAAGGCTCCCAAGGGAAAAACTGCACTTAGAAATCTTTCTAAGTCCTACATATTTCACCCGAAGGCTACCTATCAATCGAGGGCTACAATATACAAGGAGTAACACTGAAGAGAATTTTCTAAGTCCTAAAGAATTGGCCCCCGGCCTAATCAAGATTTCAGTTGGGGCTCCACAGTAGCCGAAAGCTACATGACATGCTACACTTGCAAAAATTTTCTAAGTCCTGAACATTGGGCCCTCGGTCCAATATTCACACATCAGGAAGGGATCCCATTTCCCGAAGGCTCACAAGGGAAAATCTACACCTGGAAATTTTTCTAAGTCCTAGGAATTGGGTTACTACAAACACCCGAAGGCCCCATGCTGTGCTACACTTAGAAAAATTTTCTAAGTCCTAATTATTGATGAACCCTCGGTTGTATGTCCAGCAGAGGGTGCCCAACTACCGAAGGCTTCCAAGGTCAAACTACAATCAGAAAATACTCTAAGTCCTAAAACATACATCCAAAGGAGCGAAGGCATACATTCAAAAATACCGAAGGCATACATTCAAGAGGGAAGGAATTAGAAAGAAAGAGGCCATAGATACAAAGCCCGAAGGCACTCATTCATTCATCACAAAAAGGAGTAAATGTAGTTATTACAATGTTGGCCGAGGCCGAAAACATGCTAAGGTGGCTATTACAAAAGTGTTCAAAGTACAAAGTACATATCAAACAATGTCATTCCCGGGGGCCGCCTCCCCCGATGGCTTCGAGGTGACTTCTACATCGGCCTCAGGATCGTCGCCCTCGGCTTCCCTCCGGAGCTCGGAATCCTCCAGGTCTGGCCTCTCGACATCAGGGGGGAGAGGAACACGGATGTCTGGCTGCAGGGGGGAGCCCGTACGCCGCCGGGTCAAAGTCCTTCGGCTCAATCTTCAGATGGCGGGCCATCCTCCGGTAGATGAGGGCTTGAGTGAAGAACTCACCCCCATCATAGTACTGCTTACCCTTCCGGGCCATCCACTCCTCGCCCGGGCCCTCGGACCACTCATCAACCGAGGCCTCCACAACCGAGGACAGCCATGCCTTGTGCCCCTCGGTCTTCCACCCCCCGTCCAGGAACCCGGAGATGGCCTCCTCCCGGGCTGTGGCGACAGCCTTCGCCTTGATGGCCTCGGCCTCCTCGGCTGCTCTCCTTGCGGCCTCCGCAGCGGCCGCCTCAGCTTCTGCCTTCTCCTCCCTGAGCCTCCCGGCCTCCGCCCTCGCAAGCCGGAGGTCCTCTTCAAGCTGGGCCATCAGCTTCGTGGCCTGGGAGTCCCTGAGGATCAGCTCCTTCATCTTGGCATCTTGCCCAGCTTTGTGGAGGCGCCATTCCTCCAGCCGTCGGAACTGCTCCCCGAGGGCAACGCAAGTCTGCAAAGATAAACGAGTTGTCAGGGCCGAGCATGATTTCTTAGTTCAAAGTGGGAAACAGAAAGACAAACTATAGTGAACTCACCGTGAGGGAAGACCGGAGGATCCTGTCTTCAAGGGCTTGATCATCATCGGCCCCGAGAGCTGCCCTGTCGATATCGAGGGTTATACCTCTCAGGAGCGCCCTCGGGTCAGCCGTGCCATTCAACACGGCCGTGCCAGCCGGAAGGGAGAGCGTGAGGACCTCGAGAGATGGCTCCCGGACACCCCTCGGCACCTGCGCCATCGGCATCTCCAGAGGGTCATCCACAATCACCACCGGGGGGTCATCCTTCGCGGCGTCCCCCTTCTTCAACTTTTTGGGGGCCTGGGGGGGCTCCTTTGCCGACGGCTTTCTCTTTGCCGCAGCAGCATCGCCCTCGGGCTTTTTGGGAGGCGCACCGACGGGCTTTTGGCCGCCAGCGTCCGGCCCCTTCGGATCCTTGGCCGGTTTGTTCTTGAATCGGGCGAGGCCTTTGACGTTCATCATGCTTACTGGAACACCTACAAAAAAATGAGGGGTTAGGATCGAGGGGTCACTACTAAGTGGCATAAAGAATTAACAAATCAAATGAACAAACGTGCTAAGATATGAGGGTGAGAATGCCCTCAGCTACTACCTCCGGAGGCTCCCTCAAACACTGGGAACTTCTCATCAGTTCCCCCCAGGAACCGGTACCACCGGAACCCGAGGGTGTAGAGATCTGCTTCTTTGGTGCACTCCTTGATGGAGATATTCTTGTCCCGGCCCTCCGGGATCATGGCCAGAATCCTGCCATCCTTCTCGAGGGCGGCGCTCCTCCTCTTCTCGTGCCTCCTGAAGCGGTCACGCAACTCCCTCGGGAAGGGGCTCTCGGCTAGCTTCACATAGCACCACAGGTCCTTCCACCCCTTGTTCGAGGAGGGCGCCTCAGTGAAGAGTTTGAACACGGACACCTGCTGCAAATTGGCGAATCCCTCGGCATTCGCGTGCCCCCCCCCCCCCCGGCACAGGTTGAAGCTCTGGAAGAAGAGGTCTAGGCTAGGCGTCACCCCCCGGGACTTGCAAAGCTGAAGGAAGCCAGTGATATAAGAATGGCTGTTCGGGGTCAGCTGGCAGGGAACCAGACCCACGAACCGAAGGTACTCCCGGAGGAAGGGGTGCAGGGGGAAGCGGAGCCCCATGGATACTGAGAGAACGTGCACCGCAATGCAGCCCTCGGGAGCCCGGGAGAGGACGTCATCCGGACCCGGTGTCACCACGATGGCCGAGGGGCCCACGTGAAGCTGGGTGACATATATGTCCACCGCATCAACCTTCGACTTGATCTCCAATGCGGCGGTGTTGAGATAGGAGTACCCCTCGGGCATATCGAGGGGCTTCCCTTGGTCTGCTACGCTGCCCTTCTTCTTGGGAGCAGCGGCCTTGGCCTTCTTCTTTCCGGGGGCCACCCGGATGGGGACCGCATTCAGCGGCCGAGAGGTGCTGGCCTCCCCGGCACCTCGAGGGGGAAGCACAGCAACGGTGACCCTCTCGTTTTCTCTTTGTGCCTCCTCTTCAGCTGCTTGCCAGGCGAGGGCCAACTCTTCGTCCTCACATTCTTGCTCAAAGCCCTCGGCTTCCGCCTCAGCTACGAGGGCTTTCTGCAACTCCAGGGCAACGACGACATCCTGTCCCACCGAAGACTCTGCACTTGAGGACTCCACGTCCGAGAGGACTTCATCCTCCACCGAGGGCGCCCCCGAGATATCTTGAGAATCACTCTGGGACGACATGCTGACTCTAGTTCGAAGGCTCGTAGACGCTAGTGTTTTCTAAATTTTCTATCTCCTAACCTAAGGGCACAGTACAGGTAGCTAAGAGGTGAAGGGAAAGCGGGCACTGACCTTGAAAGCAGAAGTTGTGACCGAAGGCCTGAGTTTCTCTCACTAGAATTTTGGGCAGAGCTTCGCTAAGACAAATGATCGCACAAGGGGAAATGGCTCTGGCCTTGGGGTATTTATAGGCGCTGGAATCCGGGCTTGGGTCCGGAAACCGGGCCTCCGGATGGACCGTCATCATTACACACCGTCGTTTCACCCAACCGGTGACGCCGCCCACGAACAGCCAGCCATCACACGCCACGTGTGCCACCCCCCCAACGGCTATATCCTGTCGTTACATATTCCAACGGCTATATTTCCAACGGCTATATTCTGGAAGCCCCCGAGTTTTCTACTTCACTCCACTTCATCAAGGATAGCCTCCGGGTACACTCACTCAGAAGTGCCACCGGGTTGTGCCCCACACAGCACATAACAGACGCCTTCGGGATCACTCCTTCAGAAACCCAGGGCTTCATATCAGGGCACCCCTCGAGGATTCCCCCTCAGCACTGCAGAACCGGGTAGCCCCCGGGGAGTTGCCTCATTGACGGATGACCCATGGCACACAGGTAATGGGAGCCCTCGGGTATCTTCATCACCAACTAATCAACAAACAGTGGACCCCCCGGTAACAACTCCATTGCCGCCCTCATCCAGCAGGCCCTCGATCCCCGAATTGAGGGGCTCCCCTTCGGCGCCACCAGGACATCAACAGCAAGCCTTCGGCTAATCAACACAGGAGCCCTCAGAAGAGAGAGCCTTCGGCATTCCCGTCATTCTCCATTTTTTACCAAGGTTTGACATTTTCGATTCATCATTGGGGGAATTCGGTGCACTCTTTTTCCCTCATTAGGATTTTTTCCCAAAGGGTTTTTCCTAATGAGGTTTTTAACGAGGCATCCCCCCAAAATGAAACGAAAAGCGTCAGCCTTCGGCCCACAACAGCAACGTAACTACTTTACTCCTTTTCACCACTTTACAAGTGCCTCAAGGAGTGGGGGACTGGAGGACCCCCTCGGGAAAATCATTAAATTACAAAATTAATGAAATTCCGACAAACGACAAGGCAAGCCCTCAAGTCCCGACATGTGGGTAACTGAGGGACTGCCTTCGGCAGGGACATGAAAGCAACAACTCCTCACCAACTTCAGAGATAACGACGGGACAACATCAAAGGGCAAGCACAAATTACTCCTTTTCCCTCAAGTACCTTTCGGCAAAAGGAGTGAGGGACTCCTGATGGAGTATATGGCCCGGGAACCCCCGGCCCACAGACTCCTACTACTCCAGCAAAGGCCCAACAGGCCCAAAAGGCCCAACAGGCCCAAATCACAGCGCCCAGAGTACCAAACAGCCCGCACTACGCGCCAGGGGTGCCTTCGGCCCCCTGGCCGAAGGCTCTAAACTCTCACAGAACGGGTTTCTCAAGCAAAATAAGAAACTGGGAGAAAACGGCGAAAACAGTAGCCCTCGGCACTGTGAGCCCTCGGCACCAGGGTGCCATCGGCTAGAGGAGCCCTCAGCTACTGCTCTATAGCCGAAGGCATCTCACTCGACAAGATATCCGCCTCACATGCGTACAGATCACCGTACCCTGTATAGACGTCCCATCCAACAGCCGTATTAAATGCGGCCACATGCGGCTGCCAGCGCCAACCAGTTGAGGTGACCCCTCGGCCAATGAGCGCTTGACACGTGTCCCTGTCCGGCATTTATTGCTACTATAAATAGCACCCCATTTCCCCATTTGTAACCACGCTGAAAACGGCATTCATACTGAATACACTCTCTCTCTACATTTACTTGCTTGCTCTGACTTCCCTCTAAGTTATTCCCCGCAATAACCCTTCGGATATATACCCCCGGGTAGACTATCCATCAATATCACACATAAAATCAAGGAAAATCCCTTTCGTACCCGGCAGTTGTACACGCCGGCCATAAAAAGTCCTCAGATATAATATCATCATGAGAAATATATCCTTACTCTTGCCATGCTTCTTCTCCTGTAATAGTGACCACCGGTGGGTATAAAATGCAGTTGTCCATGACTTAGTACGTCGTTTCAATTGCTATGCGTAGAAATTTTACTAGACATAGCTTTAAAACAGATAATAATTGTCTACTTTTTTAAAGTTAAACTTAGATAAATACTCCGTATAACATTCTACACAAAAGCTTCACTTTTGGGTGTGGTTCTTGTGTGCATTTTCATAAAACATTAAAAAAATCTATATGTTTAGACATATAACAACTAATACAAAGTATTATTAAAAAATACTATCGTAGAAATTATTAATCTAATTCAGAAAAAGTCCTCGCATCAATTGGCATTAATTTCACATTGAAATATTTTACTTTTTTTCTTAAGCCAAAGTTAATTTTTTGGTTAAATACACTATTAAATTACTTTAATGTATTATGTAAGTGATTGTATCTTATTCAAATAATAGTTTGTAAAAGATATTATATTTTTGCGTATATAAATCATTACTTGCATAACTGATAGTGCATGCGTATAATTGTTCTTAATACGGTGGTAATAATTACCGCTTCATATTAATATATAAACTCCAACAAAACAAGGAAAAATGTAATGAACCATATATGCAGATCTGTTAAATTTGTAGGTGGTGAATGTTGTTGTTCGTATAGAAATACGATTAGTTTATTTGAAAATGTTTATTAGATTATACGTTTCAGTGTAGTAGAGGGGTTGTGTTCTTACCGTTGTCGTATAACTTTGAACGATGGAGCAGACGGAGCTTGGCGGACAATGGGTGGATTTAGGGATGGAGCTTTGATATGTTGAAGAATCTAAGAATCTGGAAATCTTTCTACATGAACTAAGATTGATTCGTATGAACAAGAAAGGAAGAAAAGAACATGGAAATTTTATTCGATGTATTTGATCTTTGAGGTAAAACGTACAACCAGCTATTTATAGAATGAATACAATTGATAAATATCTGAAACTACTTCTAACTAACTAACAACTAACAAACTAAGAAAATTCTGGAGTATTCTAGAAGATCCCACGTGTGCATGTGTAACTTCAAGGTTAACAGGGACGTGTGTAATATTGCATGGTCAACTGAAGCTTGTATAGTATGTCAAGACCCCCCCCCCCCCCTCAAGAGGAGAGTGCAGATTCTCAACGCTCATCTTGGATAGTAAAAAATGAAAAGAATTTCGTCCAAGAGGTTTTGTGAATAAGTTTGCTAGTTGATGGGTTGTTGGAACATAAAGCGCATGAATGGTGCCAGATTGAATGTGTTCACAAATGAAATGACAGTCAATTTCCACATGTTTTGTTCGTTCATGATGTACAGGATTTGCTGCTAATGCCAGTGCTGATTTACTATCACAAAAGATAGTTGCTTTGGATGTGGGTATTATGAAATCTTTGAAAAGCTGTATTAGACCAAGGACTTATGCAGAGGTAGCAGCAAGAGCTCTATACTCAGCTTCTGCAGAACTTCTAGATAC